AACTTCTTTACAAATAAAGATAAAGAAATTACATTATTTGAACTTTATATCTATAAGATACTAAGACTAGAGACTCAAACAGAGCCCTTGCTAACTCAAAAATTATAGAAGTTATCTGCGACCTAAACCTATTTAAAAATTTTTTTTAAAAACCTACCTGGTTATTAAAACATAAAAAAAATTTTTTACAAGTTTTAAATTTTGATCTGGCCGGAAAATAAAAACCAAGAATTTTTTTTTATATGGCCTTATAAAAAAAAACCAACAGAATTTTAGCATTTAAAATAGTGTAAATAGCAAAAATGATGATGTAAGTAGCAATACCCTTATTTAAAATTAGAATCTATATAATTATTTAAAATAAATATTTTAAATTAGTTTTTTTGCTTAATACTATCAAAGTGTAGATGTAATGTGTATATATATATAATGGAATATATGTAGACCCAAAATTTCGTTATATAAGTATTTGACAGTATATAGTAATATACAGTATATAATATTATTGTAAAATTATTTTAAAAAAATAGTTACATAATATACTGTAGTTTTTATTAAAGTTTTTAACTATTATTAATTTTTATTGGTATAATATAAACCGAAATGATTATTTTTAAGAGAATTTATATTTGTATGATGCCCGGTATAAGAAAAAAAAAATAAAAATCATTAATATCTAAAATTTTATTAAGAAAACCATATGTAGGTATCTTAACTAAAAACGATTAGCACTTAATTTTACATATAAATACTCCTTTAATTCTAATCTACATATCCTAACCTAATATATTGTATATTTTGTTCTTATACCCGGGTACCATACCTTACGGGTATTTTTAGAAATTTTCTTTATTGATAAAGTATACAGTATACGTATTTAATGTTTAGAATACGCAAAGCAATACTTTTTTAGGGAGTATAAAACAATTTATTTACGTTAACCAATAAGACAGATCTTCCTCTATAATTCAAATTTGCGAACCATCATCAACACCGATATCTCAATACGAAGAAGATTTTTATTAAGCTAACGATTAAATCGCATTTTTATTTTTTATTTCTTTTATATATTACATTTGACTCTACAATAATTACATTATAAACCACTGGTACGATATTTGACTCATTAATTATTACATTTTTTTCACGCATCATAACCATTATTATACTGTAGTCACTATACCGTAATCACTATTATTCTGTAATCACTATTATTCTGTAATCACCATTATTCTATAATCACTATTGTTCTGTAATCACTATTGTTCTGTAATCACTATTATACTGTAATTACTATTAAATTGTAATCATTATTATACTGTAATCATTACTATACTTGCATAATTGATTACCCCCAGATTACCCCCAGATTGATTACCCCCAAATTCATTACTCCCAGATTTGTTGCTACACCCAGCCGATTATTACCCCGTTACCCCTATTATTTCGTCTATCGTGATCATACACGTGATACGAAACAGCAGATTTGAATTCCATGCGAGAAACCAATTCAAGCGAAACCAAACCAAGTCAAAACCAAACCAAGCGGTAAGAATTTGTTAAAAACCACCTTTTTACATGATATTAAACACCGATCTAATCGACCGTAGCACCACGTGCATGGTATCCTCGGTACCAATTCTCGTCGTTGAAACGATTTATATTGTGACAATAAGAACTATATTGAGTTGGAGTGTCATGGAGAATGTGGGATGAATGATGAAGAGAAGGAGTTACATAAGAACTATATTGAGAAGGAGTATTATAGTGAATGTGGGAAGAATGATGAGGAGGAGAAGTTGTATAAGAACTATATTGAGATGGAATGTTATAACGCATGTGAGATGAATGATGAAGAGGAGGACTCATATAAGAACTATATTGAGATGAGGAGTTATAATGCATGTGGGAAGAATGGTGAAGAGGAGGAGACGTCACATAATTATTTGGAGAAGAATAAGTATTATTAGAAACGTAACCATAATCATAATAGGAAGAAGACTCTGGAGCGGAGTAGTTGGCATGATCAGATATTGAAGCACCAAAATAATCGTAATCCGAAAAAGAACTATTAAATCTTCTATTACGGCGATTAAGAGGAGTTTGAAGGCCAAGTTCTTTCATTATGCGATCTTCACGTTCTCTTTCTTCAGCAAGCATTATATCAACATCAGTTACACTGACAGTACTGTTTAAGGCAGCTTTACCTCGAGCGATCATGTCAATAAGTTTCTCATTGACTTTTGATATAAAAGCATCATGATCATCAAATTCACTAGGTTGAATTAAAATATCAGTTGAAGAAGACTTGCGACGAAGTAATCGTCGAGGACGACGTACACGAATTTGCCTACGTTTAACAGGAGTAGACGGAGAAGCAGAAGAGATATCGATCTGAGAATCAGTTTGTGGAGTCTCAAATCGGATATTTTTCGGCGAAGTGGACAGAGTAGACACATCCGATAAGTTATTAGTGGAGATCGATAAAGTCTGATTCGTTTCATTATTATGAGTTGGCTATAAAGATTGAAAATAGAAAGTATTAATTTAATAATTATGAAATGAATTATGAAATGAATTATGAAATGAATTATGAAATGAATAGGATTACTAAAACAAATTGAAACCAACCATTGACCAAGAAATATCGTATGGTGGTGGTGGTTCCTCTTCATTATCATTTGTTGACCACGAACATTGGTCTTTTTTATCAACACCAAAATCTATTTTTTGTTTGGTAGTCGCATTATTATCGTCATTTTTCTGGATAGTATTATTATTTTTTTTCTGGATAGTATTATTATTTTTTTTCTGGACAGTATTATTATTTTTTTTCTGGACAGTATTATTTTTTTTTTTCTGGACAGTATTATTATTTTTTTTTTGGACTATATTACGATTGTTTTTTTGAACAATATTAATAATTTTTTTCTGGACCGTGTCATTGTCGTTCAACTCAATATTATTCGTGTCGAGAAGTTCTGAATTGTCGTTATTGAAATGCCTTTCATCTTCGTCAATATGCTTTCCTTGTGATCCAAAAGTTTTATAAGATTTATTTGTCTGTACAGGGATTTCTAGCTCAAATTTGCCATTATTAGATGTCAAAGTACCGTAAGCATCACTGACAACAGCCGAAGTGTAAGCAGCTAATTCTGTTAACTTGTACAAGAAATTAGTCGCTACGCCCACGTTTCTAACGGGACTAGTAGCGTACATCTTGTCTATTTGTTGTTGCATAAAAGTTTCAAACTTTTTTTAAAAAAAAGTAATAGTTGTAAGAGAGTGTAGAAAATTTTATGTTAAATATGAAATAAGAAATTTACAAATATGTATCAAAAATACTTTTGATAAATTTTAATTATAAGTTTAATGTTAACAAAGTAATTACTTTTCGTGTATTGGCGTGATATGTAAATATCAAGTTTTTTTGATGTTTCTCCCGCCAAAAATTCAGAGAATGTGAAATTTTAAATGGAGAAACGTCAGTATTTTATTTTATTTTTTTTTTTTTTTAAAAAAAATGTTAAGCTCCGTGCGTGCAGATAAGCAAGTTATAAACGGTTATCCTAACGCTAATGCGTCGTCTGATAAAACATGTAACTATAACACAAAGAGTTTTGCTTTAAAAAGGCGAAGAATCTGATAAAGAAATAATTTGGACTTTTCTGGTGAAGAAGCTGTGCAATCATCTATGGTATACAAACATATGTTGGAGTAACGCTATATACGTAGTACATACACATTTGAGTCCCTGAAAAATAATGTATTTCCGGAATGACTTATATGGACATTCAAATCTCAGTGTGTCTATCTCGTACGACATACAGTATTTCTTACAATTCTGTGGGTTAAAGTCCAAAGAGCCCTCAATAGAGCACTCTAGAAAGATCATCTACATTACATATGCACCATATGCACCATATAGGGTAACATTCTCGTGATTGGTCAATTTTATACACTCTTAACAAACGAAGTTTAAGTATGCGTGTTTTTCTCCAACCATATCAATAGTATATAAATGGCAATTTTGATAACTATAGATGATAAAGCTTGTGATTGTTATGTAGCTTAAAAAGTTTATATTCTAATTTTTATCCCAAGAATATGTTCTGGAATTCTCCGATACTTTCGTAGGTAATTGGTGCAAAACATTTTTTATTGGGTTATTTGCACTGACACGAAAGTCTTGGGTTAAGGCTGGGTTAAAGTTAGAGTAGAAGTTAGAGTAGAAGTTAGAGCAGAAGTTAGAATAGGGCTTAGTATACTATATAGAATGTAATTATTTGCGCATAAAAATTTCCTTTTTGGGGGTGCGGTCACATGACATAAAGCCAATAAAATTGTTTATTTTGATCGGCACGGATCAGCCCGACGAAGCAAAAAAAGTGAAATAGAAAAAACGAGTGTCTAAACCCACCTCGGGGCATTAACAAAACTGTCGGGGAGGGATTTTACTATAAGATCTTTCCTCATCCTAGCCCCATACTAATCCTTACCCTAACTTTAATTGAAAAGTCAAAATCACACGTACGTACCTCTAGGGAATAAGTGCATGCGATTAATGGTCATTTGAACTTGTACTTCTGCATATATTCACTATGATCTGTCTTAATCTGTACCGTGATGTCATTGATATTCGTTCCGTGGTAATAGGAGTTCAAAAAAAACACCAATGCGAAGTCTTAGCAAACTTCAAAAGTGCAAAAGGATGTTGTACAATCGAGCGTTGTCATGTGTAAATTTTCGTATCACAAACATTTAGGTGTCGTATATAATACACCTGTTGACAGCATCTGCCGTATCGTGTTACGAATAAACATTCATTTCCTTTTTAAATAATTTCTCAACACATGTGTTTCTATTCGTGGTATAGTATAATAATTATCTAACTATTGGCTCTTATCGCTAATTAATTTTGGCGCATATCGCTAATTAATTAGATTCATATTAGCATTAGCATTATTTTATACTTCCATTGTTGTCAATTTACCTGTTTCACGGCAAAATATTCTTCGTGATAAGTGGTGTAGATATATTGTGTGTTGGGATCTGTTATAAATTCCAACACCCGGATTGTCATCCGCTGCCAAAATAGGTTTGTCATGTCCGGTCTTGGTTCTAAGTTCTTTATGTTTTACCATGTAGGTTTTTTAAAACTAAATTCCAGAACATCTAAATGCAAATACTTTCTACTGTAACTAATCAGAATTCATTTCTGTATATTTGTTGTAAGTGGAAACGAAATTTAAGTAAATTTAAATTTTTAGAATTTTAGAATTAAGAGCGTAGATTTATATGTATAAAATAAATTTTACTCTATATAAAATTATAATTTTATTAAGAAATTCCAGGTTTTATTAAACTTCATTACTACTTACAACATATATATAGTATATATATAATCTTTATTATGTGGTTGATGTTAATAGAAAACAAGCAGATTAATATTTTAAAAACTAACTTGCAAAATATAATAAATTTTTAAAATAAATTTTACAAGTTTATAAAATTAAATTATTACTAAATTATTTTTTTGGTTTAAATTTTTAAACAAAGACTATTTAATGTATTTTTATTAATTTATTTTTACTAAAATGATCTATTATATTAAAAAATAACAATAAATTAAATAAATTATTAAAATTTAACAAAATTCATAATTAAAAGTTAGAATAAAACATAGTATATAGTAAAATTTTGCAAAAAAAAATTTATTAGAAATAAAAAATAGTTTATTAATAAAATTTTAAGTTATTTATATTTTTTTAAAAAAATAAAAAAAAACAGAAGAATAAGGTGAAGTTTAGGAACTGGAAGAAATACAAAAAGAAGAGAGAAAGTAGAAGATTGAAATGCCAAAGCAGACTACTAGTAGAAAGAAAAGAAATAGAGTATGAAAAGATGAATTAGGTAATTATAAAAGATTACAGAAAAAATTAAGTAGTAGCAAAATTTTTAGAATTTATAAAATAGAGAATACACAACATAATAATTTTACTTTAAGATTAGTAATTCGATGTTTTGCATTATTCACAAGTACTAGCCATAGCTAAAGCACAATTACATTGTAGAATATAAATATAATTAGATAGTACTGACAAAGTGGATAGTCGCCAGCCGATGACCAAAGGGAAATAAATTCTTAGTAAGTTAAGGATCCGGAGGGAGGCTAAGGACTACTGAGGCAGGTCGCATCTGGGTGAAAGCTAGGAGTAAGTCTCTAGTTTGGTTAGATTAACGATAGCTACAGATAGAAATGTATAATTCTTGAATAGCTTAATTTCAAATAAACAGAGGCAGGATTGCTGAATTATAAAAAAAAAAATAAAAAAAAAAAAATATATATATAGTATTACTTTTTTAATAATTTAGCAGTTCTGCTGCTTTTTATTTGAGATTAAACTAAATTAAGAAATTTATATTTCTTAATAATTATACTAATTTATCTAAAAAGCAACTTATTCACGTTTATACTAGATATGACCAGGACCCATTTATTTGCTTTATATTTATTTGCTTGATAATTACTTTCTTAACAATCATTTGCACAACAATTATTTGTCTAACATTTTTATTTGCTTAACAATCATTTGTTAAACACCTTTTTTTTTATTTATAATTACTTTTTTAATATTTTAAATATACATGAAGGATCAAATTAATGATGATCAGATCAAACATACATGGCAGACTATGAAACCCTTTGCAGCTGTGAGAATCAAGCTTAAAACGATGAGTACTTCTATAGAAAAACATTTACCCAAATTATTACCAACATCATCCAACTCCTATGATTTGGAAATATGCTATAACAAATTTTTTACTTATTACCAACTTCCTTTATTAGGAGAACCACAAACTGTTAATTCTTTTTTACAATATTTACAACAAAACAAGGTTGACTATTTAGCAGATCTTGCTTTTATTATAGTTCACAATAATAAAAGCAAAGCATATGTGTATATACCACATGAATACAACATACTACCAAACCACTATACTCTCTCTACTAATGATTCGCATAATATTTCTCTTAAATCACAATCCAACACACCTATTTTTACATCTTCCTATTCTCCATCAATATCAAGCTCCTCTTCTACTTCTTTCTCTTCTTTTAATGCTTCTTATACTACACAAAATCAAACTAACAATTCTATCTTCAACTCTCCAACTAATTCAACAATTGAAAATACTTCAATTCCTATTAAAAGTGGCTCACTAAACATTAATAGTTTATCACAAGCTAACAAAAAACTGCTCTTACTTGAAATACTTAATAATAAAATATTTAATATATTTAGATTCTCTGAAACTCATCTTTTAAAACAAGAAGCAAAATATATTAATTCACTCGCTAATAAATATTCTAGTTTCTAAAGCTCTTATACCAACCCTCACCAAGCTGAAGTTGGAATTTTTATTCATAAAAAAATTATCAAATACATTGCATGCTCTCATAACTATAATGGTCATATTATAAGCCTTGATCTACATTTCAAAAATATACCTATTAGAATCCTTCAAATTTATATTTCTATACAAGAAAAGAAACAATTACGAAAAGAAATTTTTGAACAAATCATCCTACTTTTACAAAATCATTATCTTAGATAACTTTAATAGAGTACCTAACCCTCGACTAGACCACTCTCCTCCAAAAAAATCCTCTATACCTGAGCACCAACTTATTAAATATCTTATTAGCTTACAATTTAAAGACATCTATCTACCGACTTTTTTTCCCTAATACTTCTAATTACACTTTTCAATGCTCAAGTACCCAAAGTAGAATTGACCAAATCTGGACTAATTTATCTCTCACCCATATAGATTATACAGATATACTCACAAACTCTATGCTTGAATCTGATCATAATATTATCACCTTAGAAATTGCAATTATTATTAATAAGCCAAAACTACACAAACAACACAAGCGAAAAA